TCGGAAAACCAAGAGCTGAAGGCCTTTCCGGCTTATATCAAGCGAAACGTTTAGTCACAAATTTGCCCTCTCCATCCATTGTCTTGGCACTGCCTTCCCCCCCCCAAAAAAGCCGTCATTGGAAAATATCTCCACGGACCTAACTTCCCACAAAGGTCTTCACGGACAATAACTTCCGAACAGAGCGGCGCAGCCTCGCTGAACATTGCATGGCCGATTGAATATAAAATCTCTTGATATATAGCATATTTGAACATTGTAAGGCTGCTTACATATGACAGCTCAAAATCAGGTCTTGGCAGTCAGCACGGGCGATTTATAGGAAACCGCTCAATCTGATTCGACAACGAAGTGTTAAAAGAAACCGTCTATCTGTGATATATTTTTTGGTGCAATACACCATCTGAATTTGTAGTTACAATACATCTTCTTGACCTAGGTTTACGTGTAAAGGTCAGACCGAGGACAAAGCCAACCCGCTTTTGTACTCGAAAGCTTGCTTTATGGAGTTGTTCTGGGCACTCATTTCGAAATTATTAATGCCAGCGACCGCAACAGATGTGTTCCATGTGCTTTTTAAATGCCAGATTGAGTCACTGATCTACAATGGCCCAGGCCAACATGTTTTTTATAATGCCGCCTAGCGTAATCCCGAACTCTTAGTTGAGTCGGAAAATAACAGCGGTTTCCTAGGTTTTGGTCACCTAGACCATTTAAATGTCAAACAAGTTTATTTACTTTGGAAAAATAATGTTGACGTTTAGCTTAGAGCAGGTATCTAGGTTAGTTGCGGCTGTGTGAGGAGGTCTGAGGGCACTTTGGACACCAGTACTGGCAGTAGTGCCCATAGCGCACTGTGGGATAAAACATTGCATCATATAATTGCAGACAAGGTAGGCCACCCGTAGCACTATGCAGCGAGCGAATGGCAGGTCCGTTAGCGTCAGCTGCTGGTTCTATGTCAGCAGGCCAGCGATAAAGAACGCGACCTGGGAAGGTTCACATTGTGCCTTGCGTCGTAGAAGCTGTGGGTCGGCAGTGACACTTCGGTACCGATTTGACAGGGCTTGACCAATGACGTCTGCGACCTCAATGTGGTGCGTGACATCTTGTTTGCCAAATCGCAACACTGGAAGAGGATCCGAGGACCACACGCTGACAATTCGCTTCATGTGGGCCTATACCTGTGACGTCGGCGTGTGGTGATTCAGTGAGTAGACGCAGCTACACACGATGCACGTTTTGTCTCCACCACAACGCGCTATACAGCCTCGCGGGCGCGCTAGAAAGCCATAAAGTTCCTTAAAAACCTGCGACGTTCATGAGCAGTATCGGGAGGCTTGTGAGTCCACCACGGTACACAAGTGCAACGCGGGGAACAGTAAGCACGCAAAAAGCACTAGTTTTCTGCGACCAAAATGAGAGATGTCAAATTCCTCACATTCAAAGCAACAGTGTCAGCATCTTGCGAATACGTCGCCGTGGCCATTTAAGAGTCTAAAGCTCTAAGCAAATATATTTAAATGGCTCATTAATCGGCTCTTCTGAGCACGATCCCAAATCCACGTGAACAAAAACGGAGTGCTGGGCCAATTACCTGCAGCAACTTCTGAACTGCTGGTAAATTAGGTACCTAAACATATCACTATCAATGTCGTCATGCCATCTTATCATTATCACGACGATATTGGCTTGAAATGGTATCTGATTTATCAAGATGAAAACCATTTTGGAAACGACAAAATATTTTTTCTTTTAGTTTAAATTTTTGGCATCGGAGACGCAAATCAAAGTGGCCGAAACCTGAGGAATGCGGAAAGCTAAGATCACCTTTATTGGCTCAGCCGATTTTAGAAGGTAACACACCTGGGTCGAAGTCATTAACCATCCCGCCAAAACGAGTGCTGACTCAGATGGGTCATTACACGGAAGAATACCGACACATCCTTTCTCCCTCCTCGTCCCGAACACTGCACGAGAGCTCAGTTGCGACCATTGCGCCTTCGTCGTCCGACCCACTCGCAGGCTCTGCTTCGATCCTTCCAAGCGGCACCGGACGACATCACTGAAACGATCGCAGTCGCTCATCCGTTGTAAGAGCCAAACGGACGCAAGCTTTTTCACATCGCCATGAAAACCAAGATTGATGGCTGGGGAAAGATGCTCTACTGTTTGCAGACATACCTGCGGTGCTTCCACTTTTTGGGGTCGGGCGCTTTTATGGCGCGAAGAAACCAAGCAAGCTCGGTTATGTTTCGGCGCCGGGATTTCCCACCCACCTCGGAGCCAGCTGAGGGGCGGGCCAACACCCCTCGGCAGGCGGTTGCCGCCAGTGCTGCCTAAGTGCTTGGCGGAGTGAAAGTCGTCTACCGCACGCAGGGGCGTCACTTTACGCACTTTAGTGGGGAGCTGAGTCCCCCCTCGTTCCAAATGTTAACTTGAGTCCTCCCACCCATCCCCCCGAATGTTTCTCTGAGTCCCTCAATGCATATGAGAAAAGTGTGAATACTAGGCCAAATAAATGCAGAAAGCTGCCTAAACTCTTGGTATGTTAGGTACCCAGCCACATCGCTACTAGTGGGCGTCGTATTCATTTTCTACCAACTAACATTTTGTATGGATTGACCGTTTTTGCCATGCCAGCTCCTTCATATGTAAGGGCAGTCTGCAAATGGTTGACAAGGGTTGCACATGATAGGTCCTGAGTTAGGATGCAGAACAATTGACTGCAATGTGCGGCAGATTTAAAAGTGCAGGGTGGCCCAGATAAAAGTTAACCCATGCTTCCCCAACAGTGGCAGGCTTATTTGTTACAGCATTGTGGATGGGGCTGCTAGCTGACTGGCGATGGACGATACAACACGATCAGCGAAAGCGGTAGCCATTCGTGATCACTGACTGACAGCCTTGTGTTCAACTCAAATCTTTTCAGTCCGCTCAGGATCGCCTAGTAGGTTTTGGAATCCCATTCAGCTCATGATTCATAGCCGCTCTAAAAAGTTTTATTCAGCTCAGGTCAGACCCGTCGCTTGCGTTGAATCATATAGCTCATGATTCACGCGGCTGCCAAATCAAAGATCCGATTCAGTTTTGACTCGTTGCCTTATAACTTGTGACTCATATGTCTCATTCCATATGTATATGTAGATGTATACATATATATATATATACGTATATGCATATGTATGTTTATATTATCACACACACACACACACACACACACACACACACACACACACACACACACACACACACACACACACACACACACACACACACACACACACACACACCACACACACACACCACACACACACACACACACACACACACACTCACACACACGCATATATATATACATATATATATATATATATATATATCAAAGAATGGAAAATAGGAAAAAACAGCTTACAACAACCTTGCAGTTTGAGCATAGCAAACGCAAAGCGGCAAACAATACCTTTCCTGCAACCTGTTACCAACCAGCTCTCCGAAGTCTCAGCTCTAGGCTAGCACATTCCACCTGACAACTACGGCCTAGACCCATTAGTAAAGACCCATGTAGGGTGTCTTTAACATCTAACATCCACTGGTTCCTGACTGATATTTAGCAAACTTTAGATCAGGATGGAAAATATTGTACTTGCTGCTTAGAAATCACATGAATAAACTTTCTGCGGATTTTGCAGTAAGTTTGCACGCTGTTTATTTGGACACTGAAAAAGTAGTTCAGCTGCCTGGGGCGTGTTGTGTTTCCTCATGTAACCATTTTAATTTCAGTCATATGGCTCAATGACCCGACGTTGATGCAAATGTTCGGCCCACGATTCAGCTCATGAAATTTAGGAAGAATGTGATTCAGCTCACAGTTCGAAGAGATATTTTTCTTAACGAGCCAGCTCAGCTTGCGGCTCACCCCAAAAATTGACTCTTGAGCCAATTCATGGCTCAAAATTACGTGAGTTGTTAATGCATTTGCGAGGAACGTCATTCGCGTAGATAAGACAGTAAAAGTAGCCTTATTCCTCGGAGAAAAATCGGGAGAATAGAGATATAGATGTGGTGTTATTCCGGCAGCATGCCTTCACCGAAACAGTAGCAGAAGTCGAACACAAGTCTGCTGGCTAAGATTTAGTGACATGTTTGTCTTTGAATTGCACCCATTCTAGCATTTTCAAATAGGCAGCTTTACATCGTCTTGAAATGGGAAGCCATTCCTCGTTGTCATTCCCCGAAGCCATTCCGTTCCCAGTTTGGAATCAACGAATTAAAAAAGTTGCTTTTTATTTGAACAACGGTGACGCGAATGACAGTGACCAAATTCAGGGAAGCAATCATATTCTGCGGCCAGTTAGATCAATCTGCTTGGCTCAGACCCCATCCCCCTCCTTACAACCGATTAAGATAGTGACAGCTCTGACCAAACAGCCAGGTGTAAGCCCCCCTCGTCCTGCCAGTGGTTCAGCGCCGCCTTCCCCTGACCCCTTAAGTCCACCGCACGGATAGGCAC